ACCTTCATCCCTCCTGACATTTTTTAAAATAACTAAACAACAATCCTATGCAATGATGTGTTTATATTTCTATTATTTGCAGTTTCAGTTAATACCTACTAGTTATTACTACTGGCGGTTATCTCTTACTTCAGTGGACACAGAAAACCAGTGGTTACTGGGAGAAGCTGGGCACAGGACACCGCTGCCGTGCTCCAGCCCCTGGGCCAGCTCCATGTCCCCACACCCCCGGCCAACCACACAGGGCAAAGGACAGGGCCACCACCGCACCGCTCCAGCGGGAAACAAAATTTCTGTTTGAAGTCACCCCTGCGCACGTTTTCCTTTTGTTTTAGGCTGTGGAGGAGAAGGAGGAAAACCAGAAGAGAGGTCCCAGCCCACAGCAGGCCCGAGCCTCCCCCCCAAAGGGTAAGTCAGGAGATGGCACTGGGAGCATCACCAGTTGCTTCTCTGCCCGTGTCACCTCTGCCACAGGCTTCACGCGTTCTGACGGCGCAAACGCTGGCCCCCCACCAAACACGGGGTGCCCACGCTGCTCACCTGGCCCAGCAGCAGTCCTCACAAGAACGGTGCTTTACAGCAGGATCCGGCCAGGCTGATCTCTCCCCCTGGTCCTGGGAGGGAGCAGGAGGTGCTGGGCAGCATCCTGGGCTCCAGGAGAGACCCAGCACCCACAGACCTCACCTAGCCACAGGCTGCTTTCCCCGAGATGAGCTGAAGAGCCATTCCTCCACCGAGCTGGCTTTTAAGAGCTGCTGTGGCTTTGCCTCCCGGGGTAAAACCCAGCGGATTTGCTAACGAGGGTCCTGGGTTGACCGGGTCAGGTATAACCACCCTCAGGTGAGGAGCTGTGTGGGTTTGATGGGCTCTGATGTGGGTGGGGGTAGAGCCCCACTGCACCCCAGGCCCATGAGTGTTGTAGCTGCTCCCACACGTGTTCACAGGGTACACAGCTGCCCTTCGGCGCACACAAAACACTTTACATGGTACGTGCCCGGTGGCTGCAAGCCCTGCCTGGTGCTCCTGACTCTACAAACGAGAAGTCTCCATCCCGTGGGGTGAGCTGGCTGATGGCGGGGGTCTCCTCGGCAAAACAAGGGGTGGAAAAACCGTTTGGGGAAGAAGGAAGCCGTGCCTGGGAGAGTCTCACACCTACCGCCGCAGCCAGCCCCTGCACCGAGGGGAAGCGAGCGCAGAGCGTACGACGCAAAATTTCCTCTTTCTGGAGCTTTTTTTAGCATCCTGCTGGTTTTTACACAGCGCAGTTGGCTGAGCCTTGCAGTCTTACTGCTCGGGATTTCCAAAGCGCAGTTTCTCACATCGCCGTGTTTCTTACCCCCGCCTCCGAGGGCGGCCGTTCTCGCAGGGGCATTTTGGGGTGTCCTGGGCGAGCCCCCTCGCTGCTCCCCAGCTTTAGCTGGGCTTGCTGGGACCCCCTGTGCTGCGGGTCTGCAGCCCCCGGGAGAGGCAGAAGGTGCTGCCAGCGCATCCCTGCCCCGGGGCCAGGCAGGAGGGGGACGAGGATGGTGCTGCAGGAAAGTTGCTCTGCAAAAGCAACTTTCTCATGGCAAGAGATGAGAGGAAAGACACGCTTGTTTTTTAAAAAAACAAAAAAAAAATTAAAAAATCAGCAGGAGGAAGAGCTGGGTGATGCGGGTCGTGGGCTTTACCTTGCTAAGATGCTCCCCAACCAGGCGTAGCCCTGCCCGAGCAGCGTTCACGGACGCAGGGCCAGCCAGGCACAGGAGTGTCTGCAGGAGCGGGACGCTGGTACGGGCCGATGGCACCGCAAAGTCACCCCAGCTCCTCGCCGCTGGCGCCTCAGAGCAAACTCCAGGCAAGGAGCTGAGACATTCTGCGGGAAAAAAAGGGAAAATCAACCCAAGGCTGGCTCTGCTGGGCAGGCTGCCCACGTCCCTGGGCACGGCGCTGGTATCTGGGAAGCCGAGAGGAACGGAGGAGCTCTCCGGGAGTGAGCGGATGCACCCGGTCGCCGGTGCCCCGGTCCCGCTGCCCGGGCACAGCCCAGGGACCTGCAGTGCGGTTGTTTAGCTCGGATGCCCCGGCAGGATGGGAAGCCTGGACACGCCATGCTGAGGAGTTTGCTGTAACAGTAAAGCCGGGCACGTCTTCATGGGAAGCCGTCACCAAAGCGAGCATCCATCCCATCCTCTACACGTACCAGTCCCCACGAAGCAGCTCCGGATGCCTTCCCAGCGCAGCCTGCTCTGCCTGTACCTATACTCAGCATTTTTTCAAGCCCAGCAAGGCAATTTCTGACCCCTCGGGGAGGATGTGCTGGTTTTGGCCAACTGGTTTGGCTCGATTCCAGTACAGAGGAGAAGGGAGGAACCTGCTCGAAGTGGGTGCTGCTGTCAGGAAGCTCCAGAGGGGTTAACCAGCTGCCTGGGGCGAGCTCTGGAGCCCCAGGGAACCCCACGGCATGACATGTACTGCCAAAAACCAGCCACATCCACAACCCTCTCCCAGCTACTTGCGCCAGTCAAGCTCCAGCAAACGGAAACCGAAGCCCCGGGCCCAAGTCACCCACCAGCGACAGACCAAACCTAAGGAGTAGGTGAGCACCAGTTCGTTTTCCTGCATGACAAAGAGATTACTCACACTTCTAGAAACAGTCATGCAGGTTTGTGCAGCAGAAGTAGGGTGGAGAACGAATAAAAGAATTGGAAAGTCTTTGAGCAGAAGGCTAATTAACACCACGGCTTATTAATTGGCGTTTCTGAAGTTTAACGGGATTATTTCACGAGCCGTTTCGCTCTACTGGCTCCGTTAGATGCTGGCTCCCTGGAAGGAAGGAAGAGATCTCGGCCTCAGCGGGCTCCTCACTCCACGCTACACAAGAGACACGACACAAGCGGACACGGACGAGCCGCCCCCCTGAACGGTTTCCTTTTGCAGAAGATCTTCTGTTTCCACTCCGAGCTGCTTCAAAGCTTTGGTGCCATCATGCTGACAAGTGTTGAACGCTGGCTTTACCAATAAATGTTCCCTTTTTAACACCTGTACCTAAAAGCACAGGAAAAAACATCAGGGAATGCAGCAGGATGTAATTTTGCCTTTGTAAATGTGCCTTGGACGTCTTGGTCGGTACCTACAAGCTTCTCCCACCGAGGCCTGCGGGTTAACTCTTCACGCTGAAGCAAAGGGCAAACCTAAGAGAGTCTGGACAGAGATCTGAATTTCCCCTCTATTTATCAGATCTGGTTGTTTTTTTTTTCCTGACAGATTCAGATAAGATTGGCTGCTTACCATTCAAATAAAGTCCACCTACAGGCACCTCAGTGACAATATCTTGTATTTCCAACAGCCACGGCAGTCACCGCGCAAGACGGGTAAAGGAAAGGTTCAGAAAAAGCAGCTGTGGGAAAGTCAAATTTAACAGGAGGAGTGTGGCCAGCAGGTCGAGGGAGGTTCTCCTCCCCCTCTGCTCTGCCCTGGGGAGGCCCCATCTGCAGTGCTGTGTCCAGTTCTGGACTCCCCACTTCAAGAAAGATGAGGAGCTACTGGAGAGAGTCCAGCAAAGGGCTGAGAGGATGATGAGGGGACTGGAGCATCTCTCCTACGCGGAGAGGCTGAGGGAGCTGGGCTTGTTCAGCCTGGAGAAGACAAGGCTGAGAGGGGACCTTAGAAATGCCCATAAATATCTGCAGGGTGGAGGTCAGGAGGACGGGGCCAGACTCTTTCCAGTGGTGCCCAGCGACAGGACAAGGGGCAATGGGCACAAACTGAAGCAGAGGAAGCTCCAGCTGAACCCGAGGAAGAACTTCTTCCCTCTGAGGGTGACGGAGCCCTGGCCCAGGCTGCCCCGGGAGGCTGTGGAGTCTCCTTCTCCGGAGATATTCCAG